TTCCCGGCATTCTGTGCTTCTCGGGCATAAGCTTTAGCTTGTCGTTGGGAAGTATCGAGCTGCTTGGTATTGGTATTTACGCGAGGTATAGTCGTGATATGAAGACCTCAATTATACGTCTAACTTAGCCTTCTTGTTTTCTTTAGTTAAGGTTCCAACAGTCTTGGAAGAAAAAGTAAATACCTCCTTCTCATTTGTCCTGGCCCTCTTCATATTTACACCTCGGTCATCGGTGTCTTCTTCATCCGAAGTATCTATGGGTCTCTATTTACGTCGGATGTCTGGGTTTCTGAACTTCTGAAGTTGAGGTTTTCCGATTAATCGAAGAAGAGCTGATAACAAACCAAGACATTCATCGTTATTATGTCCCGGAGACTTATGATACGCACAATAACGAGTTTTATCTAGTTTTTCTTCGGGAGTTCGAACAGGCTTGGGGTCGGGAATAATGCCTTTCCCTTTCAACTCTTCAAAAATAGTTGCTGCTCCCGCAGAATAAACGGTCTGATAGCCGCTCCTTACGTTCTCAGCATATTGATCTCGGGCCGCCCTTGAATCCGAAGTATCAGCGTTTCCATTCGAATAACCTCGAAATTGAGCCTTTCCGAAATTCTTCTTGTTCTTCTTTTTCTCTTCGGGTCCTGCCTTATCGTCCATAATGGAAAAATCAAAGTTAGGAACGGACATAGACTCCTTGGCTATGACAAATTGTTGAGCGCGTATGAGGAATTCTTAAAAAGTACTCGATTTGTTCTGGCAAAGAGTCCATCGAAATACCGATTTCGGTCTGAGTCCGGCTATTGTGGTTACCAATAAGGTCTCGAGATGACAGGGCTCTATGTTTTGGATACGTTCGTTGAATCGAGAAACATAAGCTTTAACGATCTCATTGTCCTTCTGTACGATATTAGTAATCGATTCTTTAGGGATGAGACAAACTTGAGCGCCGATGAAGTGCGACCGAAAGGTCGTCCTTAGCTGCTGCCACTTCCATATTGAATGAGGCGGCAAAGTATAATACCATTTCTGAGCACGTGACCCCAATGTAAGAGAGAACATGCGACAGCGTAACGCGTTGGACGCACCATGTAAATCCATCCAGGACGTATATTGACCCAGATGAGCATCTGGATCTGACGTTCCATCATACATACCGATCTGAGGGACTTTGATTTTAGCTGGAAGTAATTCGGCCATAAGCTCAGGTGCTAACGGAGAATCGGCTTCAAGATTACATTACTAGAAAGGGGAGCATGTCGTAGGGATTCTTCTTGTGACTTTTGTCTCGTTTCCAACTCTTTCGCAGAGCCTCCAACTCCTTCGAATTCTGTCGTGACATACAATTCCTTTCAATTGGTGACGTAAGTCTTCATGATTACCAGGTAATGGAGAAACGGGCCTCGGAGGTATAGGAGTTCTATGGTGATGAACGGAGTGACTTTCAGCGGTCATTTCTTGATTTCGAACTGCACCGGCGTCAGGAATATCAGGCACTTGATTGGCCACTGGTCGAATCTGTTCCTTATGATGGATTCGCGACGTGGCTGTGACGTAGCATGTGATGCCGATGTATGAGCTGTTTGATTTTGCACCAGAGAATTCGGTTGTGGCGCTACAGTCACATGATGAGTGTTGGTTGTTGCGCCTGGTAGTGCTCGCGCCATTAGTGACGAGAGGCCTTGTATGAACTTCGAGTTTTGAAAAAAAATTGTAAAATCCGGTGCGGCAATTGCTTGTGTCGTTCGTCTACCAGAATGATCAATATTCTGGTTGTGTGCAGGGTGTGAAGTACGATCTCGTCCGTATTGAGACATCATAAACAACAATAGAGGGTGTGCTGAAAAGATTGAAGCACGTGATGACTTTAAAAAGCGAAGATTAACCTCAAACAATTATGAGACCCTCCTTCTAGCGCCAAACTGTTGTCAAAAGTGAATTAACAACGGTATTTTGAGAAGATTGTAAGAGGATTAAAGTAAAATGAAGCATATAATAAAAGAAAAAGACGTTGGTTTCATGTCAGGGCGACGTCGGGATTTATTGAATATTGTTCTTATTATCTATTACAAGATTTTTCTCAGTCAAAAGTCCTTTTTTCTGAGGGTCAAGCCCGCTATTTATAGAATTGTGGCCCATCGTACGAGGTAGGTGTGATTGCATTTAATGTAGGACCAATTGTCAAAGGCAGCTGCCGACCAACTGGAAGACAATCATGATTGTGAGCTGAGTCGGCACCGCCTTGGGGCGTCGACAGTCACTCCTTTGTTGACGTCGGTGAGCGAAGTCTTGACTGGGGAAAGACCTCGGTTGAAGCAACAAAGATGATGGTTCTACTGCCTCTTTGTCGAATGGCGATGTCAGTTTTTATTGCTTTGGTACCGACGTTGATAGACTTTGTCGTGGAAGCGCGGCCATGTGACCTTAATCATGTGCTAATTGGATGCACCAAAAATCATGTCAACATATTTCTAACACGACTTTGTATCTCATATCACTTTCATGTTATATTGTTTTTACTTATTTATTTTGATACCTTGTATAATTTTTATTTTCATTACTTATATTAATGTGATCTTTTATTTTATATATTATTTATTATGCTTATTTTATGTGTGTATACCTTTATTCTCTCGTTTTGCTATCTTATGAGACTTTTCAAAGGTTAAATGCTTTCGTAGTTTGCACTTTCAAATAATTTATTTGTTCTTTCTTTTTATTTGTAAATGTTCATTTCAAAATCATAAAAAATTTATTTTCAAATAGTTTATATGTTGATATTGAAATATTTTGAATATTATTGATAACTTTATAAGTTACAATTACTGTTTTCCGACAATGTTTGTATCTTGTAAAAATATATACTAATAATATTTTTCTAATATAGCAACATTATGCAAAAAATTATAAAAAAAGTAAAATCAATCAATAATTAGATAAATATATGTTAATTTGGGTTGATTAAAAGTGTCATATATTTGAGTTTGTGCTCTTTTAACAAACAAATATAAGGTCATGCTCGAGTTTGACTCGATGAATCTCAGATTGATTTACTCGTTTAATAAATCTAAAATTCTAAACAATTTTGTGAATAACTCATTTCGCATAACAACGAGCTGATTCATAAATTTTTAGAGGATTAATATATAGAACATCTTTTTTTCATCTATACTTTATTATATTAGTCATTATGCTATGTTTATTAATATTTTATTCAAACATAATATTATAACCATAGTTTTTAAACCCGGTCTTTGGGTCACCGTTTCAACCGCCGAATCACCGAGTTAATTGTTAAGTCGGATAATTCATTTTAGAATTTTTAAAATTTTATATAGAGTATTTTTGTCGTATAAATATATATAAAAGTTACAAAATTAAATATTTTGTATGTAAAATTTATAGATTAAAGTGGTAATAATATGTATTTCATCATAAATATTTAACCATATAAATATTTTTTTAAAAAAAAAACAAAAAAAATAAAAAAAAAAA